AATGTCCTGAAGCTGCAGAAAGTACTCATATCCAAGAGGCTAACTCCTAGAAAATTGAGGGCCATCAGGTGGGCTCATGGTAGGGGCCCATATAAGAATATACGGTACTAGAAAGAAGGGAATAGATTTTTAAAGGCAAAAAGGAGAGTATAAAGTTCTTTAAATGAATGATTTGGACCTTTTTGGCATAGAGAAATCAAGACAAGAACTGCATCCGGTTTGTTTTAGCAGTGCTGGGAATCAAATCCATGCCTTCAGCATGCTAACTACTTGCTCTGCCTCTAAACATCTTAGACCTAGAGTGGAGGTAGTTGATCTGAACAATGAGTGGGACTGGCAAGGGAAGCATGTGCCACAGTGTCACATACACGGCCCATGACAACATCATCAGTCTGCTGCCCGAGGGATGAGCTTGAGTGTGTTGGAGTCTTGCTCATGTCTTACCTCTTCCCCTAACAGGAGTGAGTCATCACATAGCACAGGAATGAGCTCCGCCCCTGGTCATGGAGGCGCTGGCAAACCCAGGCTGTAGGAATAAGGGGACCTTTCTGGGTTGGTACCTCATAGACGTGCACATTTGGTCCAGTGATCTGGCCCGAGGTGGGAAGAACTCTTCACATAGCAGAAAGACCTCTCCAGTCTATTCTGGTCTTCTTTTTGTTGATTTTCAGTAAAAATCTGAAATATTAGAAACTTTAAGTTTTTTTCTAACTTTTTGTGCATAGACAGCTTGGATAACATGTAAGCTAAGAATATCTTTTCATGTTAATTCCATCTAAAAACAAAAATAGAAATGAATAAGTGAATTACATAAATCCAGACTGTTTTTTTTGTGACAGTCTCTGTATTGACTTTATTTAAAATTACGGATGGCCCCTAACAGAATGTTAATAGGTGGAATCATTGACTCACTGCCATTTTGGTAATTAAGTTATCCATTTTCCCCTTTCTGTGGAACAGATACACAACAGTTACGTTATTCTGCCAACCCAGCATCCCTAGGAGAATTTACAGTGCAGCTGGAAGCAGAGCTCAGGTGTGGTCCCGGGAAGGACTGCAGAACTTTCAAGAAATCCAGCACCTGTTCCCTGTTCCCAGCCCAGGGTGGAGAGTGAGGGAGAAGAAGATTAGGTCTTGGAAATTAAAAAGAAAAGGAAAGAACTGAAAGTTCAGTAGAAGGCACGGGATAACACTTGTCACTGATGAATCAAGCAGTATCCGAGAAAAAGCTATCAGCTGAAGGATGCTTGTTTTAATCAGGCTTTTTTGGCTGCAGGGACTGAAACCCGGCTCAGGGCAGCTTTAGCAAAAAGGGAGGTTTTGTTTGTTTTTACAGATCCTGGCATAACTCATAGGACAGGAGGAAGTGTTGCAGGAGCCAGGCCCAGCAGGACAGAGACCAGTCTTTGAAGCTCGTCAGTGTCCTTTCTCCAGCTGCTACTCTGCTTTTCAGACATCAGTATGAGGTGGGGACAGGACCATCTAGAGCCCTGTAACTCCTGACCAAGGAGGACAGTCCCCTCTTGCTCTAGCACCTGGCCTAGCTCCAACAGGCCTGGGGAAGGATCCAGGCCCCTGCCTTCCTCTGTAGCCAGGAGAGGTTTTTCTGATTGGCACTCCATGCCATGCCAGGACTGTTAGAAGTCGGAGAAGGAGCAGTTTCCCAGGAGAGATGCTGTTTGGCAGGGTGAAATACTGGGGGTCTGCCACATTTCACAAGAGCCAAAGAGACCTCGGGTTACTAAAACTGCATAGACTAGATCCGCTCAGGGAATGTTCAAATTAAAAAAGAAAGACATACATACTGTGTACTTTCATATTTTGTACAGATGTCTGTGGTGTACTGTTTGTTGAATGACAAAAGCAGGTCATAAAATAGTGCATATAATAGGCTCTAGTTCCATAAAAATAAAGACACCCCTAGATGTGTGTTGATATGTTTACATATGTATGTTTGAGTAGGAGAAGGATGTGGAAGGATGCAAAGGCTGGTGTTACTGATTACATCATGGATGTACTGTCTGTGCAGGTGAGGATCAGCTTTGCCTTTCTTTATCATTGCATTGTTTTACTTGTTAAAACCAGCTTGTATGATGTTTATAATTTGAAAAACATCAAGTGCTGGCAGATTGGCTCAAATGGTAAAGCTCCTGCCTAGCAAGTGTGAGAACCTGAGTTCAAACCCCAGTACTGCCAAAAAAAAGCTTAGTAGATGAAAAACATCAAGTGAAGAAAAAAGAAAAGGGTTTTGTTTGGATTGACCTCAGAATGGGTAGAGGTGCAGGAATTGAAGGTCATGGCTTGGGACGCATCCCAGGAAATCCTGGGCTTCCCAGATTCCCAAGACTGGGCAACTCGCTCTCCTGGAGCAACAGCAAGTTTGAGGACTCCACAGCTCTGTTTGTTCACTGAGCCCAAATCCCTTCTAGAGAGATGTGAGGGAGTCATACCTACCACCAGCTCCAATACAGCAAAGTCTCCTGGAGGGCAGTGTCCCAGCCCAGGGCAGTCAGAGACAGGCCCCTTTCTGTGCATCTGCTGATGGACCACCTCAAACCAGCTGGGGCAGGAACAGCTAGGCTGCTTTTAGTCAGCACCCCTGATGGGAGCCATTGATTATGCTGGAAAGAAATGTTGGGTCTCTTACTGCAAACAAGGCCCATTTCCTGGCTGGCCCTCTGAACCTATGATCTGCACAGTGTGGATAAGAACTTCCAATGCCCTGCCTCATTCTTAAGAACATACGGGGGTATGTGAGAGGTAGAATTATAGTTGGATCTTACTTTCTTCTAGATGTTTCTATTTACCAAATTGTTTACAGCAAGTATGCATTAGTTCTATAGTAAAAAAAGGAAGTTACTTGTAGAAGAAAGCAATCCTATCTCTAACTGAAACTGCCCCATTCTGATACGTGTGGGTGACGAGGTGGCACTAGTCCATCATTATCTCAAGGAAGCATTTGAACACGAGCTCAGGTTCTCTGAATGATTGTGAAGCAAAGCAAAACAAAACCCCACCCCTTGACAGAGCAGTTCCCAGCCAGGAGGTCCACTAGAATGGGCTATTTTCTAGAAATTCTTTCACCTCCCCAGACAGTCCCATAAGCATGCTTCAGAAATCTGTCTGGGAGAGAAACTGTGTCCCTGGCTTTGTGGCTGGGAATCATTTTCTGAAAATGGTAGGTAGGGGACAGAGTTTAAAAAACAGGATGCCTTTCCTGATGAACAGATTGCCTGGCCTTCTGTATACATCTGATGCCACAGCCCATGCTTCATCCGTCATTCCTGCATGTGGCGTGTAAATTAGGTTAGGAGAATTTGCTGCTGAGGCTGCCAGCTCAGCTATAGCTGGCCATCCATTTGGAGAAAAGAATTTCTCACAGGCCCATCCTTGCCTCTCTGTAAATGCTTCTCAGCCACTCACTCTCGCTGGACCCCTGTGGCTTACACTGTCAAATAAGGGGGATGAAGTAGAAAATAGATCTCAAAAGCATCTTCAAGTGGGGCATGGTGGCTCCCACCTCTAATCCTAGCTACTTGGGAGGCGGTGATCGGGAGCATTGAGGTTCAAGGCCAGTCCAGACAAAAAGTTCTCAAGACCCCCATCTCACTAATGGTTGAGTGCAGTGGTGCGCACCTGTCATCCCAGCTACGTGGCGAAATACAAATAGGATCATGGCCAAGGCCAGCCTGGGCATTAAAGCAAGATCCTGTCATAAAAATAGCCACAAAAATGGAGGTGTGGGTCAGGTGGGAGAGTGCCTGCTTATCAAGCTTGAGGCTCTGAGTTCAACCCTAGTACCACTAAAGAAAAAAAGAGCATCTCCAAGTTCTAAGATCTATAGATCTTTGGCGAATGGAAAGCTCTTGTGGAAGTGATTACAAGCAGTAATCTTTAGGAATAATAATAATAATGACCAGCGTTATACCTCGCACTTTCCTTCTATTAACTCATTTAACCCCCACAGTGATCTGGTAAAGTAGTTACTATTATCATCTCCATTTTACAGGTGATAAGTCGAGGAAACTGTGGACTATTTCTTATACCCAAAGCATAGCTAGTGGCTTGTGGTTAATTAAAATATATAGGATATTTTAGAGATTAGTGTAAATGCTGTATAGGGATGGTCAAAGGATTAATTTATGTATGTCCAGTTTCAAAAGTTACTCTGGCTTTGCAGGCTTATTTTTGCTGTGTTCTTACGTGAATTCCTGTTAGTTTCCACATCTGGCTGTTTGGATAGGGGTTCTCTTCCTTATTATAGGGAAGAAAGGAGTGGACCTCAGGATGAAGTGGGATGTAGACCTTTCAAAAGAGTGTGTTGCCCTAGTTAAAGGAGAGAGAGGGAGAAGAGCTGGACTCTGGGGTGCTGGCTGAGCTTGGCAGGGTGCTGAAGGATGTGCACAAAACAGGGAAGGTGCTAGAGCCAGGCCACCAGCCCAGTCATCAGATGTGATGCACTCAAGCAGCATGTGCAGTAGGACGTCCTGTGACAGTGTGAATGGCTTCTGTCTGGTTCAGTAGCCGCTTCTTGTGGCTACTGCACACTTGGAAGTTGGCTAGCCAGACTGAGAACTGACTGAATTTTTTATTTTGTCAAATCTTCATTAAGCTTAAATGTTTATAGCCATGGGTGGCTGCCGGCTGCCGTATTGACAGCATGCTGCTTATTAGAAAATTCTGACATGCATGAATGTTTTGAAAGCTTATACATTTCAAATATACATATTTTTGAAGTTAAAAGAAACATTTTATAATTTCAGGAAAACAATTTGGGATCATTACGGACAATACAGACAAGAAGAAAGTAAAGTACTCATGCAAACGCTACTCAGAGATGACTGTGGTTGGCGCCTTGATATACACCTAAATTCTGTCCTGTGTCACAGGGAGCCAGCTAACTCCCAGTGTATGGAGAGAGAGCAAGCAGATTAGCAGGGGTGGGCAACACACAGGTTTTGGCAGTTTGCCACGACTGATGTCTGTCTTCTCTTTGCTAGGTCATCAACCCCATGGGATGGGATGCATTTGGATTGCCTGCTGAAAATGCCGCCATAGAGAGGAATTTACATCCAGAAAGCTGGACCCAGAGGTATGCGTTTACACACATCTTCAAACACTTGTGTACAGAACCTTTTTAGAAAAATTTTTTAGCTTATACATGAGAAATACAAAACAAGGCAAGCAAAACACTGCAGCCTGCCAGGAAATAAGTGGGATTACATATATTGTTGTTCATCTTTTTAAAAAAGCTCTACTCCTTTTATCTTTTTTTTTAAAGACAGGGTCTCACTATGTAGCCCAGGTTGGTCTTGAATTCTCCATCCTCCTGTCTCATCCTCTGATTGTTAGGATTACAGGCATGTACCACCCTGCCTGGCTAACACGCTGCCTTCTTGTCTGACAATATAGGGAGTTTATTCATTTATATTTTCATTTTGATGCTTTTTACTTACCAAGCTATTCTTCATTTAATCTTTCATCTTTGAGAACAAAAACAAGGAGAAAATTGCATTTGTTAAATTTCTGTAATGCTTTTTGTCTTCTTGACCATAGTTTGACCTATATCGAACGAAGATACTATAATTTTCTCTGAATATTAATTTTTTGTTTTCATCATTCACAAGCAAGGGGAACTTAGTCATCATGGAGCATAGAGCCACTCAGTGCTGGGCACAGCTTTCTCTCCATCCTCTCCATGTCCCCCATGCCTCCTAGCCCTCTCCCTCCTGATAAAGTCATGAGCACCTCACACCAGAATCCAGCAGAACATTCTGAGCCTGCTACAGCAGTCCCTTTCACAAGGTCCTGGCATCCTCCCCTTCTTACCCTCAGAGATGCAGAGGCAGTTCCAGGGCCTCTCACCTCCCTTTGCTCTCTCTTGCCCAGGTGACATTGGGAACACATCTGCCTCACTTCTACTACTACACACAGTTATGTTTTCTTCCTAATCCCTAGGTTTCACTTTCCCAGTTAAGGTTGATTCTAGATTAATGGAAGTGATGGAAAGAAAGGAGGAAGTGATGGTTCAAATAAAATGGATCAAATATGGCATAAGTTTGATGTTGGCTAGACAAGGGGTTGGCAAACCTTGGCCTATGGACCAAGTCATTCCCTGCCAGTTCTCATGAATAAAGTTTTATTGAAACACAGTCACATGCGTTTAATAATGTGCCATCCCTGGCCGCTTTCACAAAACAACAGGTGGTTGTGACAGGTTCCATATGGCTCACAGAAGCTGACAACATCCTCATCCGGCTCTTTGCAGAATGTTGGCTATCCCTCCACTAGACCATAGCTGTGGGGAAGATGGCACCTGGGTCAGGCCTCCTATGCAAATCATGCCTTTCCTTTGTGCTAGCTTGTCATCTTGAGCAAATTACTTGACCTGTCTGTGCTTGGTTTACTAATCAGACCAAAAAGTGGAATGGTCATAGTTCCAACCTCAGTCAGGATAAAGATCAATTACTTTATGAAAAGTGTTTAACACAGGGCCTGGAATTAAAAATAAGCTATTATGAACTAATCGGAAATCATAGACAGGGCTTTTTCTTGGTTTTTCATGTTTTTTAGTCTGCTTGAACTAAAAGAGGTTACAGTAAAAATGAATTCATCCTTTTTCTTTCTTACTTGGTAGGACTGGAGTTTGAACTCAGCGCTTTGTGCTTGCAAAGCAGGTGCTCTACCATTTAGGCCTTACCTCCAGTTCCTGATCCTTTTTCTTCAAGAAAAAAAAAAAGAAAGGAAGGAAGAAAAAGGGCTGGGTATGTAGCTCAGAGGTAGAATGCTCACCAAGCATGCGCAGGCCTGGGTTTGACCCAACCACCAAATAGAGGGGGTAAAAAAAGGGGAAAAAAAAAAAAAAGAAAGAAAAGGAAAGAAACAATTATTTTTCTTTATTCCATATTGTATTATAAATGGATTAGCACATTTCTCTTCCAGTTTCCCAATTGTTGGACAGTTTTAGGTCTTAGATTTTGATTGAAAAGAGCTGTTTCATTTCTTTTGAATTGTCACAATTTGAACATTAAGGTTGTGTGTGTGTGAGATATTGGGGGTGGAACCCAGGGCCTCACACATGCTAGGCAAGCACTCTACCACTGAGCCACACTCCCAGCCTGAACATTGATATTTTTCTTTTCTTTTCTTTTCTTTTCTTTTTGCAATACTGGGGCTTGAACTCAGGGCCTTCACATGGAGCCACTCCACTAGCCCTATTTTTTTGTGATGGGTTTTTTCGAGATAGGGTCTCTTAAACTATTTGCCTAAGCTGGCTCGAACCGAGATCCCCCTGATCTCTGCCTCCTGAGTAGCTAGGATTACAAGTGTTAGCCACCTGTGCCCAGCTAAGATTTTTGTTTTAAATTGCTTTCATTCATTCATTCATCCCATTTATTTATTTAGAAACAATGCTTGCTATGTAGCCCAAGCTGGCCTCAAACTCTTAATCCACACAATCCTCCTCAGTATCCCAAGTGCTGGGATTACAGGTGTGCACCACCACATCCACCTTTGGATCACTATTGTATTTGCTTGGCTTAAATCTGTGCAGAATCTTGATATAGAGAGGAGCCAGAAGTACATGCTCAAAGGGGTTGTCTGTCTGAATGGCCAGGTGAAGAGGCCATTCAGAGCCAAGACCATTGTGATTTCTACTGGGTTATGTCCAAATAATGGGTGTCTTCTAATATATTGGTATTTTCACTGATTCTTAGTGAGTAATTTTTTTGTTGGGACAAAACAACACTCAGAAGCCCCTTAGGATAATCTGTGTTGCCTCAGTTACCCTCCACATCCTCAGAGTGTAATTTATTTATGGTTTTAACCCTTCTCAAAATCAAACTTGCTTCCCTTGTTTTACAGAAACATTAAACACATGAAGAACCAGCTTGACCACCTGGGCCTGTGTTTCAGCTGGGATCGGGTAAGTCAGCCCTTCTTCCTAGCAGTTGGGGTTTTTTAAAATTCTTTTTTAGCAGTATTCAAGATTGAACTCAGAGCTTTGCGCTTGCTAGGCAGATGCCCTATGACTTCAGCCATGCCCTAGTCCTTTTGCTTTTTATAGTTTTGGTTTTCGACAGGTTCTTATGCTTTTGCCCAGGCCACCCTCAGACCATGATCCTCCTACCTCCTCCTGAGTAGCTGGAATTACAAGAGTGCTCCACTACATCTGATTTTTTTCTTTTTTTGGCAGTACTAGGGTTTGAACTCAGGGCGTTGTGCTTGCTAGGCAGGTGCTCTACCACTTGAGCCACTCCACCAACCCTGTTTTGTGTTGGAGTTTTTTGAGATAGGGTCACATGGACTATTTACCTGGGCTGGCTTTGATCCACAATCCTCCTGATCTCTGTCTCCTAGCTAGGACTGTAGGCGTGGGCTTGTTTTTGAGATAGCGTCTTAGTAACTTTTGCCTGGGTTGCCTCAAACCATGATCCTCCTATCTCTGCCTCCCAACTGGAGAGTCTTGGTTTTAATGAAGGGTCTGATTGCTTGGAAGATGGGGTCCTGGTCTTCTTTGGGTTCTGAGAAGAGAAGGAGACAGGAGAGCAGGATTAGCACTTCACAAATATCAAAGAATCCTGAGTGAATAATTTGCCTGAAAACAAGTAATTTTCTGTGGAATTAAGCTAGGAGAGGTAACTTCCTATGTAACTTCATAGTGGGCTATCATTTATGTGTGGCAAAAGCTCTGCTCAAGGGTTTCACTTGCTCTCAGCAATAGTTTAAGAAGGTGGTCAGAATCTACTTAGAATGATTAAATATCAACCCACTGGTCCTTTAGGTGATTAGTGTTGATTTTTTTTTTCTTTCTTTTTTTACGTTTTGTTTTAAGTTTAGAATTAAGGTTCATTAACAGCCATAATGATTCTGTGAATATGACCTTTTTCACTGTTATATCCCAAAACGAGTGGAGAATTCCAAACCTGGGAAGAGTTCATGAAGACCACCTGGGAACTGAGCCTTTCAGAGCTCTGGCTAAAGGTCCACTCTGTAGACAATGAACAGTGGCCTTCTGGGTAGGATCGAAGGTTGCTTGTCCCCTCCAGGGAGGGCCCCTCCCATGCATAGTCCCTCTTAGTGTTCCACTTACTTCACAAAATGACGGGGTCACATTGCTTATCGTAGGAGAAGCACTAGAAACGATTGAAATTTAATGGGTCTGGTGAAAAAAGATAAAAGTCAAGTGCATGCGAACAGGCTTTGAGGTTTGATTTTTTTTTTCTTTTGTGTCTTCATTATGTAAAGGCATGGAGGGAGTCAAGTTCTAATCACACCATCAATGCCCCTTTTACCACTGAGTGGCAGGGTCTCACTGTCTCACTTGGCAGAGGTGTGAAAGCTCTGGGTGCCTGGGTCAAGCTGTCCTGAGGTGCCAGTGGGGAATTGTTGGCGGAGGATGAAATACAGGCTGGTAACAGAGAACTGAGTGGTGCCCAGAGCTGCCAGGGAAGAGGTAGCTGGTATCCTGCAGGCAAACGTGGACTTGTTAGCCCTCCAGAGTGGTGACCCGCCCGTTCCTGTGCAGGAGAGAACATCAGCCGTACGTGAGTGGCTTGTTTCTTGATAACTGTTGGCTTGTTTCCCTGTTCATCGTGGAAGGTTAGAAAACACTGAAAGTATAAAAGATAATCAGTGTGGCTAGTGTAATATCCTGGTGTGGGCATATAAATTATGTTTCTAAGTTGTAAGCATCTGTGTGACCTACTTGTACAAAATTCAGCTTAATGGTGGGGATGGAACCCTGGCCTTGAGGATGTGAGGCAAGTGCCCTACCACTGAGCTACGACCCAGCCCCCATAAAGCATTTATTCTTTTAATCTTACTTATTTTTGTACCTAGTATTTATTAGCATCTTCACATTTTATTGCATATTCTTTGAAAACTTCATTTTATAGCTGTATAATTTCCCTTTTTATGACTCTTATCTCTTACTATTGTACATTCAGATAGGTTTTAATGTTTCTCTGTTAAAATACAGGTTATCAGTCCCTCTTGTGCAAAGCCGAAATCCAGAAAACTCTGACAAATGAAAGTTTTTCATGATTTATTTTTCTTAATTATAATAGAATTAATTTAAAGTAATATGTGTGCAGACTAAATCTTAAATTGTGTGTTTCAGGTTTAATCAACTTCATCAAAATAACTTTAAGTCCAGCTGCTGCCACACATTTCAGCTACGTGATTACTTTGCCCATTCTTCTCTCTTTTCGTTCCTGAGTAACTTCTTTCAAATATGGTTCAAGGTAGAATTTATCCTCCAAATATTTTGTCCACTGCTCTTTAGGTGAGATCTGATGCCCCTGGTCAGGTCCAGTGCTCTCTTGATACAAACACCCTGTCATTATAAAGGTTCTCAGGAAGCCTTCTTACGGCTTCTTTCATATCCTCATCCTCAGTTATTGTTGTCATGTCACATTAACCCCCATTTATCAAATCCTGCAGCGTTGTACCATTTTCACATACCTTCCAGCCACTGGCGTGATGCTGAAATAGCCTTTCATAACTTACTTGACTGCAACCCTGGCCTGAACTGATGTTTATCTCCCTGAGAGTCAATATTCATATATTTTGCTATTGGACAGTGAAATTTCCAGGTACTTTCCCAGGCCTGCCTAGATAGAGAGATTAGAAACTATTCAAAAACCCACTTGACTGCAGGTGTGTCACAGAAGGGCTTTTGAACCTGTAGTGCAATGGTGCAGGCCACCGATAGTTGCTGACCCCTGCCCTTGGCCAGGTGCCATAAAGATACTATATGATAATCTCTTTGGACCCCTAGAAAGCTCTGAGAGGCGGGTATTTTCATCATTATCATTTCATTGCTGGTCACCCATTTGGCAGGGCTGGGCCAATCTGCTGGCCAACTCGCACTGCTGTGCTCAGCCTCCACACGTGGAGCAGAAATCTTAACACACTTGTTCTATTACTTAATATGAATTCTCAAACAAGCCAAGGACAGGTTGCAAATTTCTCTCTGTGAAGGTTACACAATTTCCTCTCCCATGCTTTTATACAGTCGTTTCACTCACTTTTCTTTTATTGTCAGTGAGGGTTTTTTTGTTTTTTTTCATGTGTTTAATAAATGTTTGAGTTTTGAGTGTGTGTAAGAATGACCTAATCAGGTCTCTTGCCATATAGGTAGGGAGTGCTTAATGATTTTTCTTAATGATTTTTGCTTTGTTTCAAATATTTTCCCTCGGTCTGTCATACTCCTTGCATTTTGTGGGACATTATTAGTACACAGACATATACCTGGGAAGGCCTTCTTTGTGATAAGATACACACATTTTATTTCCTTCTCCATCTTATGTGGTTTTATATTTAGTATGTGATATAAGGAATGACTACTTTTTGTAAATCACCATTGCTTCTGTTTTTAAATTTTCAAGTAGTCCTTTCTCTTTTAGTCATTTTAAAAGACACATTATTTTAGACCAAGTTCTTTTGTACTATCATTTGACCCTAAGTTCTCTTTCTGATCATTTGATCCATTCATTAGTATGTCATTACTAAACTGCTTTAAATTACTATTTCCTTGTAATTCATTTTAATATGTGGCAACAAAGTTTCTTCTCATCTGTACCCCTCAGTATCTGCCCCCCAACTCCATTGAAGTTTTATTTTACTGCTTACTTTGGGTTCTCTGACACCGCACACTGTTTTCATAACTAAGCATGATTCTGCTACATTGCCTATGAGCAGCAAGTTGCTGGTGCATGGAATTCATTCATTGTCTGGTTTCTTTCTAATCTCTCTAGTAGACCTCGATCTACTATTTTTTTTTGGTGGAGGGGCTGTGGTTTGAATTGAGGGCTTCATGCTTGAGCCACACCTCCAGTCTATTTTTTTAATGATACTTACAGGTTCCCAGGAAGTTGGCAGGATAGTAATCTGTACAAATTATACAGATTTGCATAATACAATATCAAAATCACAAAACTGGCACCAGCACCATACTGTTAGCTATAGTACAGCTCTGACTGGGATTTCTCCAGTGTTCATGTGTGGTCACCTGTGGGTGGGGTATAAGTAGTAATAGCTCTGTGCAGTTCAGTCACACATGGAGATCCACTGGGTTTCCATGGAGAGGTCCAAGGCCGCAGAATTTTCCTCAGCCTGTCCATTTGCCATTTTCAGGGGCATGTATTTTGGTGTGGACCCTCTGGCCCTAATTTCCTAAGAACATTTATGATCCATGGATGGGCTTTCTTTGGGGTTGCCAAGAATGCTCACTATTGTTTGTTGTTACCATGCTCTTGTGATTTTGATCACCCTGTTTTTCTCTGTCTTCTGGAGAACTCGTGTTTGCTTTCAAACTCTGTTTATTTAGAACTAATGTTGCTTTGTATAGTTTTTAAACACACATATTAATTTTGTCATAGTTTTAGATTTATTTTACCTTCTCTTACTCAGTTTCTCTTTTCTTTCTTTCTCTTTGTTTTTAGACAAGGACTTGCTATGCAGCGCAGGCTGGCCTGAAACTCATGATCCTCCTGCCTCTGCCTCCTAGGTGCTGGAATTACAGATGTATAACACCTCCCTGTCCCTATTTTCTTCCTCAAAAATAAAATCATGGCCAGATGCTTTTTCTTGTTCTTTTTCTTTTACTGTCATTTTTATCTTCACAGACTTTCTTGAATGCAAGGAGGTGCTCTTGACAATTTATTTTTGCTTCCAAACTTTTTCATAACTTTGGAATGCTGCGTTCTTGTTTGCTTCAGAATCTTGTAGGTACCTTTGGGTTTCCCCTGTTTCCTAAGTGGTGTAGCAGTCCATCTACCTGGGGGAGAGGGCAGCAGAAGCTTTTGTATTTGCTGTATCATTTGCTTGTCTGGATTAGGGATCTGCTTGAAGTGTTGCCGAGCCACCCTCCCAGCAGTGTCCAGTTTGTTAGCTTTCTGACTTCCCAGCATCCATGGTCCC